AAAAAATAACTGACTAAGCAAAAATAACAATGATGTTGTATGGGGCTCATAACATGTAAAAGTAAAGCGGTTAGAAAGGGAGAAATGGAAGTAAATTATTGAAAGGTTTTTATACATGAAGTGGTATAATATTACTTGAAAATACACTATGATAAAAGGATGTATGCTATAAACCCTACAGCAGTCACTAAAATAAACAGTTACTATCAATAAGCCAACAAAAGAGATAAAATGGAATTGTAAAAAATTTCAATTAATCAAAAAGAAGGAAGAAAAGAAGAGAGAACAAAGAACAAATGGAAGACAAATAGCAAGATGACATTTAAATTTAACCTCGAAATTTTGAAAACCTGGCAGGGCCTGGTGGCTCATGCTTGTAATCCCAGCACTTTGCGAGGCCGAGGCAGGTGGATCACGAAGTCAAGAGATCAAGATCATCTGACCAACATAGTGAAAACCCATCTCTATTAAAAATACAAAATTTAGCTAGGCATGGTGGCGCATGCCTGTAGTCCCAGCTACTCGGGAGGCTGAGGCAGAATTGCTTGAACCCGGGAGGCAGAGCTTGCAGTGAGCCCAGATTGCACCACAGCACTCCAGCCTGGCGACAGAGCAAGACTCCATCTCAAAAAAAAAAAAAAATTTGTTTTGAAAAATGTAAATAGTTATTTTAGGGTACCAGTTTCATGACTGACTTTATTCTTTCTCAAATTTGCTGTTCAATAATAAAAGATAAAGTTCTAAGTCACCATGTTTTATATAAAATAGATTACATATGAGTGGTCAGTGCCTGTAGTCCCAGCTACCTGGGAGGCTGAGGCAGGAGGATCATTCAAGCCCAGGTGTTACAGACCAGCCTCAGCAACCTAGCGAGACCACATTTCAAAGCAGAAGAAGAAGAAAAAAGAGTGGTCAGAGGTATATGTGTATCTTAAATTAAAAGAAAAAATAAAACCAGACTATATGCAGTGGCTCATGCCTATAATACAAGCACTTTGGGTGGCCAAGGCAGCAGAATCACTTGATCCCAGGAATTCAAGGCTGCAGTGATATGATCATACCACTGCACTCCAGCCTGGGAAACAGAGTGAGACGACCTCAAAATAAATGAACGAATAAATATCCACATACTAACACAGCTTACAAAGAAGATTACTAATATTTTGAAGACACCAATACCCCATCTCCTACTCTCCTCCCCAAGCAACCACTATCCTGAATTCTGAATTAATCATTCCTCTGCTCTTATTTATGGTTTTACCAGATATGCATGAAATCCTGAATGGTATTTGTTGCTAATTTTTAATTTTTATAAAAATTAAATCATACTGTATATATTCTTATATGGTTTGCTTTTTTCAATCAACATTGTATTTTTGATGCTCATCCATGTTGGTGTGTAGCTATGTTCTATTCATTTTCAATAGATTTTTACATTTTCCTATTGATGGCCATATGGGTAATTTCTAGAGCTGTGCTCTTAGAAACAGCGCTTATGAATGTCTTGTACCTCTCTTGATTTAAGTGGGTATGTAAAGGAATGGAATTGCTACATTATGTTTCCAGATATAATGATCACTCTGTGTTATTAGCCTTATTTTATTAATAAATGAAGGCTTATAGAGACCAGGAAACTTGTTCAAGGTCACACAGCTAGGTAGTAAAGTTAAGACCAATAAATTCTGCTCCTTCCACTTGAAAAAAACTCAAGGTTAGGTAGCTCATACTTCTGGAAATATGTAACTATCAAACAGAATCCTGATGTTTTATCTTGTTTTACCTAAAGTTAAAAGAGGAGGTCCTAGGAAATTATTCCACTCAATTCTACCACTTGACCACTTGAAGCAACTTGACTACATAATGATCATGATTAAAACTTTTATTCTATTAAAATATCCTGTATTTCACCATTCCTGAAAATTCTAGTCAAATGTTATAGTTTAAAACGTGTACAAATTGTGTATGTATAAAATTATAAGACATAGTAATAAAGTGGTTCTCATTGTGACTACAGTTTTACATTAAATTACAAGCACTTTTATTTTTGCCATAACTAAATTTGGAATTACTATGTTTAAGATTCACTGAAGTGAATGTAATAATTATTTTTTAAATATTACATATTCCTTTTAGAAATTACTTGAGAATACTTTGAAAAATGTCCTGCATGTCATTTAAGCCAACCAAATAATTTCCAAGATACCTAACATTACACTTAAATTTTAAAAAGGGTAAAAAGTCAACTTTTTTTTTTCAGCTAAGGTCAACTATTTAGCTCTGCAATCTTTCCTTTAAAAAATATTTGTAATAATTTGGTCTCTGATTTATTTCACAAGTCTTAATCTTGCTTTATAAATAATCCTATTTTCAATCACACTTTATTATCTAACATGGCTGTTTATTAATTACATGATCCTATGGTAAAGCACATATTTCTAAAAATGTAACTACTGAGACCTACAGCAGTGTAAAGGCATCTTCACATTATAGTACTCTATTACATTGTTACTTTTAACAAAAAGGAACCAGATTATAACAAAATTGTTACAAAATAGCTTAAAAGTGTAATAGAACTTCATTAAAGAAAACATTAAAATGAATGAGTTTTAACTAGACCTATAACAATTTTATATATGCTAGAGATAAAATTAATATGAGGTTACATAATTTTTTTTTTTTTTTTGAGACAGGATCTCACCTTGTCACCCAGGCTGGGGTACAAGTGGTGCCAGTGCAACCTCTGTTTCCTGGGCTCAAGCAACCCTCCCACCTCAGCCTCTTGAGGAGCTGGGACTACAGGTGCATGACACTACACTCAGCTAATTTTTTAAAAATGTTTTGTAGAGACAAGGTCTCAGTATATTGCCCAGGCTGGTCTCAAACTCTTGGACTCAAGCAATCCTCTGGCCTTAGCCTCTCAAAGTGCTGAGATTACAAGTGTGAGCCACCACACCTAGCTGAGGTTAAATAATTTTATACTATAAAAAAGCATAAGATCTTGTGAGTTCCAAAGTGCCTTGGGTATCAAGAGCCAACATTCTATTTCAGGGATTTTAACTTAATGCTCCTTTAATATCTTTGCTGGATGTTGTTAGAATAGTATTTCAAACATTTTCTACAATTTGAATTAAATATTACCTTACTAAATAATGAGAGGCTGGGCAAAAAAAAAAAATGTTAAGTATATCTCCAAATATAGCACAACAGTTTAATGCTCTGTTTGTGGCCTTAACAAAATATGAAAGTCTGCAACACATTCACAAACCACCTGGAGATTCAAACTCACAATGAACGTGCAATGACATATTGTGCTACTTGACATTAGCTATTACCAAAGACAGTTCAAAAGGAAGAGAACAGAGACAATCTTATTAGTATAATTGGAAATGTGCTGACATATCCACCTGACCAAACATCTTCTCTTGCAGTGTATTATATTACCTGAGAAAGGTAACTTATAATCAGTGCTAATATGCTCCTTAACCTGATTTACAAGGTCAACTAGCTATAAACAGAACAAGGCCCAGGAGCTACCATACAGGTGACTTCAATTCTGTATGTCTGGACTGGATGGGAATACGGGGGCTTACATGTTTGTGGCCTTGTTGGAGTATGGGAATAGGACTGCAGTGAGAATTCTGGTTATAAAAACTCTCCCTTGTAAAATTCACTGTAAATCAAGGACAAAAATCATGAGATTGTTTGTTTTATTATACTTTAAGTTCTAAGGTACATATGCACAACGTGCAAGTTTGTTACATATGTATGCCTGACATGTTGGTGTGCTGCACCCATTAACTCGTCATTTACATTAGGTAAAATCATGAGAGTTTTAAGGACAAAAACATGGAAAAATCTTTCTGTTAGCAGCTAGTGGAATAATTCATTTAGGAGGAAAATGGGAGAAATTTTTCGTAACTGCTGAGAGTAAAAACTCGGAGAACCTAGGCTTGAGAACAATGTACATCTACTAATTCAGGACTAGACACATAAATTAGAGAGTTTTTGACATAAAAGTAACATTTGAAGTGATGCAACGCATGAATCAGCTCACTGAGGGATTGAGTATAGACAGAGAATACAGCCACCCCAATGTTAAGAGATCACAACTAAAAAAAATTTTAAAACTCGGAAGGACTGAGAACCAGTAATAAAAGAGGAAAACCAGGAAAGTATGTTGGCTGAGAGCCAAATGAATAAACGATACAAGGAGAGTCATTCAGGTGCATTAATAAATGCTAAAAGTAAAGCATTACATTCCTTTCCAAAAATAGCAAATCCTCAAACAGAAATAGAGAAAAATTGAAAGATATTACTTGGCATTCATTTATCAGTGACAGAGAAAAAACGGAAGTTCTAACAATGTTATCTAATCGAGATGTTTTATTCATTTTCATTACGTATATGCTGTGTATGGTACTCCCGAGCATCGTATCTTCCTTTTAACATCCACATGAAACAAGCTTTTAAAGAGCACAGCAATTCTCTTGGCAGCATTAATTGTAAAGAGAACCTCTTAAGTTGTTTTACCAGCTCAGACTGACTGACTAAACAACCAGCGTCTCCCATTCAGCTGCCAGTCTTTCCTCAGAAATGCCGGTTTGGCATAACTTTAAGACTCAAGATGGTATAAGGCGCACCCTGTTTCTTCCAAGAGAATGGGCAAAACTCAACATTCACGGAGGGCTTAGAGAAAATTAGATCCGTATACTGTGACGTCCTGGAAGGGAGAGGCTCACCTCCTACAAAGTAGATGCTCAATAAATATTTTTGATGTAATTCTGGAAGAGCTCCATTTGAGATCGGGAGTGCACCTACTCCAGGGCACCACCCCCTGCAGAATAGTTGCATTCCCACGCCCCTCATACTCCGCTCAGTAAAGGCACCCGCGAACTAGCAGGCATCCGCCCAGTGAATAAAAGCAAAGTGGGACGGCGCACCACCGCAGTCCGGACTCTTAAGGTTAAAAGACAACCCCTTGCCCTCGGGCCAGGGCTCACCTGCCTCGGGATGGGGAAGAAGCGCGACTCCTGGCCGCTTCGGAGTAGGCGTCCCGGCAAAACTCTCGCCTCATCACCAGACACTACCCGGGCAGAAGGTTCCTGTACTAGGTCCTTGGACCCGAGAGGGAGGGACAAGCTCACTTGGTCTCTTGGGTCTCCAGGCCGCCGCCGCCACCACAGTTCCCTCAGGTGTTACAAAGAGTCCGGGGTGTGCGCGAGCTCCCGCATCGTCGCTTAGCAACCTGAGAAGCTGTCCGGTCGTCCCAACTCATCAATTCCCCCGCCCTTCCAGAGTGTGAATCGTTTTTTAAATGATTTTGTTTCCGGGTCGAGCCAGCTTTACGCAGCGGAAGGTCTCTTTACCTCCCACGTTTACCCTCACGGGAGGACGAAGTCTCAGTCACGCGCGTGGGGGGTGATGTCGCTAAGGGGTCATTCTCTCCTCCCTGGAGTTACAAACAAAATCTCTCCCGCCAATTGCCGGGCGCCATCAGGCAGGTCCTTTCCTCCTGACCCCAAATCATGCGCTTGTCGTCGTCCTCCAATCACAGCGGCTCATCCTCCGGGACTACTTTGCAATCGGAGCAGAGCGCAGTGAGAAAGCAGTGAGAAGAACCCCTCGGGTCGGGAAGTGTAGTTCAACACTTGAAGGAAACACTTTGGAGATTGCGCCAGAAGCAGGGCAGCGTAAACTACAGTTCCCAGAGAGCGCCGCGTCGGGAGCGGAGCGTTTTCTCGCTAACACCGCTCGCCCTCTCCGAGTCAGTTCCGCGGTAGAGGTGACCTGACTCTCTGAGGCTCATTTTGCAGTTGTTGAAATTGTCCCCGCAGTTTTCAGCCATGGTGAGTGTGGGCCCCGGGTTCCTGCCCACCTCTGGCCCTCGCGCCCTTTTGTGGGGTTTCTTGCACTTTAGGGACTTTTGGGAGGCAGCTGTGCAAGGCGCCGTCCTTCGCGCTCTTTGACAAGCTCGGACTCATCTTCTTGGGATTGTCGCAGTGACCCAGTAATTGGGAAGGGATTGATTTCCACCTTGCGGGGCATAGGGCGCTCTTAGGAGGATTCTGGAGAAGTAGTTGTCCTGGGAGAGGCGCGATCTTAATCCTGCTGCATGGCGGGAGGACAGAATACGACGCTGCAGCTATTTTCCAAAGGATGTTACGGGGTTTGTTTGATAAGGACAATAAGGTTTGCGATGGGAGGGAAAGGTTGGGTGCTAACCCCTTTTTCTCCTCATTAGCCCACAGTGTTTATAAGAGCTTTTGTCACAGGGCCCTTGAAAGCTAAAAGCTGGAAAGGTAGTATTTACCTGGTGGTCCAGATTACGATCTGCGTTTGCAGGAGACGTGTTTCCGCCATGTCTGATTTCTCAAAATGTTATTTGGAACCCGTTCATTGACCTGTTTTGTAATGCCAGGATATGTTGAAGTGACGGCATCAGTAGCCAATAACTACTGCGGATAGTCTTTGTTGAACTGTATGTAATGAATTCCAGAAGCACCTCTTTTAAATGTAACAGAGTAACCATTTTGTCATGGAAGACCTGGATAACCTAGATCTCCATCGCTTGTCTCTGCAGAAAGGAGGGGGTTGGTGAAGGAACTCTGACGTAGGAATATTCAGCGTACTGCTTGAAGGTGACATTTGTCATCAAACTCAAAGAAATCGCTTCCTACTATCAATACAATTGCTTGTATTTATAGTTGCGACTGTTTTTCCTACTTTGTGTCCAAAATACTAAAATGGCTGGAGAATGTGGAGAAATGTTTGAATAAATTGGAAATTTCCCAGAATCTGAAAAGACAACGTTTTCAAGGCAAGGGCATTACTCTCTCTGCCTGTGTAACGGGGCCAGTGGAGACAGCTACTAATTTCCAGTAGGTGTTAAACCTAGGTTTCCTATATATTTTGTCACATAATTAGTCATTTAAATTAGGTTTCAGTGGTTTCTGTCCTAATAATCTTAGCTAGAAAGCAGAGGTACTTATTATGTGAGAACCTTGGACTTTTTGCTTTTCGAACTGAATGGGATCTTTTAAAGGTCATCTTGACGAATCTCCCCACTTCACATCTTAAAATTGAGTTTATCGAGACCCAGAGAGAATGTGATTTGTCCCAAGAGTCTCACACTCTTGCCATTTTTTCTATATTGTGTCTTACACTTATCAAGCCTTTCTGAATTTTTATTTTTATAGGGACCACCGCAGTGAGGTCTTGCAGCGGGGGAGAGACGGTGTACTCAACTCCCTGAAAACTTAATTTTTACTAACTGAGATTCTGGATGAAGTTACCAGTTCATACTGCATATACAAACTCAACTGTGTTATCAGCATATAGATTACTTGATAGCTTTATTCCTTGCAATTCAAAATATTGGAATTCTAGAATTAAAAGGGGATTTGGAGAATATATTATCTACTCTTATAATGTAGTCTGGGGAGGTCAGATAATTTTCTTAAGGTCACAGAGAGATTTTGGGCCCCAGATTCTTAGCTGGTTTTCCCTAGTAAGGCCCCACCGCTGGAAGGTCACTGGGGTGCCAGATAACACAGAGACAGAACATGAGGAAGAATTTGTCTGGCAGTTTGCTGGAACTGACAGCAAACTCACACATGACTCAATTTCCCTGCCCCCCTCAGGGGAGTGTGTGAATGGACAGAGTTAGAAAAGAGCCTTGTTTTGTAAGCTCATTCAAAGGGGAGGATTCTTTGCTTGTTGTCTATAGGGAGTGACAGTAAATAAACTGTAGGAAGGAATCTAAATGGTACCGCTTAGTTTTTTGTGTTATAGAAATGCATGTAATTTAGAAATATATATAAATTTGAAAGTGAAAAAGGAATATGTGGATCTGTCTGTGGAATAACAGAGACACTTAAATTCAATCTTTACAGCTGAGAAGTTAGCACAGAGCATGCATCTGCAGGAAAGTCATTGGTGCCCTGCTAAGAGCAAAGACATTCCTTCTTTGGATCTTGGCAGACTGCCCAGATATCTGAGCAAAGAATAGTAACCTATGTTCACACTGTAACATTGTGAAAGTCAGCAGGACTCTCCCACCCTCCTGCTTTTCAACTGCAATGTTGCAGAGGAGCAGAAAGAACCATACGTGGAGTTTTCTTTCTCTGTTTCATCTTCAAACATTCAAACACTAATAAGCCTCAGACTGCCATTAATAAGATGGAATTACCTACCTGTGAAAGTAATTTCTCCAGAAATACAGAAGAAAACTGCTGAGGTGGAATTAACTGTTCATTAGGTCGCCACAACCCCTTCATTAAGGACTGTGATACTGTGAACATGTTTTTAAGTAGCTACTAAAATTGACTGCATTTTTCTAACCATATAGATGACCTTATGGGAGGTTAAACTTTACAGATAGTGATCTTCCATCTCTCCAGCCCCCCTTTTCTTATCCTACTTTGCTGTACATTGAAGTAGTATGTGTTCGTACTTTATACCCTAACCTTCCTTCATTCAACAAATACTGGTTGAACACTATATGGAAATGCAAATCCATATCAAAGGCAGACTGTTCTTAAGGGGGCTTCATGGTCTAATACAGAGCAACAGAAATGCAAATAGAAAACCACAGGCTATTAGAGTCTTTAGAGGAAAATTCTGTGATGATAATTGTAAATACTTAAAACTACTCTGTTCGTTAGGTAATTGCTATTATTATCTCCATTTTACTATGGGGAAATAATGCAGAGAGGTTAAGTAACTGGTCCTAGAGCACGCAGTTAATGAGTTGTGGAGCCAGGACTTGAACCTAGAAAGTCTGGCTCCAGAGTCCATCTCTTTAATTACTACTCTCTTCTGCCCCTGTAGCCCCCTGTTTTAGAAAATTGGTGTATCCTTTTGTTTCCTTCACGTAATTCACCAATGGATTCCCTGGCCTAAAATAGTACCAACTACATGATAGGAACTTAATGCTGTTTTGTTTAATGAATGAATTAAATGAGACAACAGCTCATCAGTGGATTTATAAGGTAATATCATTAATACTAATGACATAAATAATTTTGTTAACTATAGTTGAAACTATTGTGGTCACTGAGTTTCTAGCCTTCTCAATACATACTATATATGAATAAAATACCTTTTGTTTTCATGGTACATATGAATGAGTTTTTGTTTGAGTCAGGATCTCACTCTGTCACCAAGGCTGAAGTGCACTGACACAGTAATGGCTCACTGTAGCCTTAACTTCCAAGGCTCAAGTGATTCTCCTGCCTCAGCCTCCTGAGTGGCTGGAACTACAGCATGTGCCACCATACCCAGCTAAATTGTTTTTTTAAGAGACAAGGTCTCACCGTTTTGCCCAAGCTGGTCTCGAACTCCTGGGCTCAAGTGATCCAGTCACCCCGGCCCCCGGCGCAGTGTGCCGGGATCATAGGCGTGAGCCACTGCACTCAGCCTGAAATATCTTAAATAAATAAAATACCTTTTAAAAAATGTTAAAGCATACTACATATGTTCCCAAACAGTTCTTTTATATTTCCATCTTTTTGGTACTTTTATAGGATCCAGCTATTCCTTCAAGCAAATATCAGAGTTCCAACTACAGGCCAGGTGTTTTTCTAGGCAATTGAGATACAGCAGTAAATAAAATAGACAAAGTCCGTGTTCTTAAGGATCTTGCATTCTAAAGGAAAAGGGAGTAATAATTTCTTCCTGTATTCCCTTTTCCTCACCTACTCTACTTGACTTCAAGGAAAGAAGGGAAAATGACAGAATGAAACATGTGTAGGCCATTAAAGATTTTTCTATAAATAGCAATAAATTGGAAAACAAATATTGTATAGTATATAGCTGGCTATGATCAAATTCATTTCTCTACACCAGTTGACATTTATTTATTTATTTATTTATTTATTTATTTATTTATTTATTTTTATTTTTTTTTTTTGAGATGGAGTTTCGCTCTTGTTGCCCAGGCTGGAATGTAATGGCACTATCTTGGCTCACTGCAACCTCTGCCTCCCGGGTTCAAGCCATTCACCTGCCTCAGCCTTCCAAAGAGCTGGGAGGCGCCTGCCACCACACCCAGCTAATTTGTATTTTTAGTAGAGATGGAGTTTCTCCATGTTGATCAGGCTGGTCTCAAACTCCCAACCTCAGGTAATCCGCCTGCCTCGGCCTCCCAGAGTGCTGGAATTACAGGCATGAGCCACCATGCCTGGCCTGACACTTCTTTTTTGAATTTTTTTTTTTCTTTGACTTCTGTGAGTGAGTACCAAATTGCTGAGTTCTGCTGACCTCAGAGCTTAGAGTTAGAAGCTTAAAAGAAGCCTTCGAGGCTATCCATCCTTGTTTCATCTGGAGGAAGGATCTTAAAAAGAAACCAAATACTTCTAGGCTCAGTCACATCAGTGGACCATTTCTCCATGCCGGTAGGGGTAAAGGTGACAGTGAAAGTACATTTACCCAGCATTGTCGGGGGAAGGAATGGTTCACCATAATTGAATTTTTCTGTCTAATTAAACTTACCCATTATGTTTCTAAACATTGTTTTGTTCTTAATAGAAATATTTCTATTTTTTAAAAATCTGTCAGCTTAGTCTTTTTTTACTCAGAGTCATCACCTTGAATATCAGTTATCTTTGTTTCTATGTCTGTAGTTTGTTCAGGATCTGTTGAAATTTCTGTTTGTATGTCTTCCCTCCTTGCTTTTAAAAATAATTTTCCCTTGGAATCAGGTTGTCAGCTGTCTGTCACTACATGTTACTGTTGTTTCTCCTGAAATAAAACATCTTGTTTTTCCTCCTCCAGACAATGAAGTTGAATAGCAATTAATTGTCCTTTTTTTTTGAGACAGAGTCTTGCTCTGTTGCCAGGCTGGAGTGCAGTGGCACAGTCTCAGCTCACTGCAACCTCCACCTCCTGGGTTCAAGCGATTCTCCAGCCTCAGCCTCCCAAGTAGCTGGGATTACAGGCACGTGCCACCATGCCTGGCTAACTTTTGTATTTTTAGTAGAGATGGGGTTTCACCATGTTGGCCAGGCTGACCTCGTGATCCACCCGCCTCAGCCTCCCAAAGTGCTGGGATTACAGGCATGAGCCACCACGCCCTGCCGATTAATTGTCTTATTTAAATATATTGGCTCAATGTAAATGGAAAGTTTTAGCCTCTTTTACTCCTTTTCTTGGTATGAAGATTCTGTTGAGCAGATGGGAGTGGGGGCTTTGCATAATAAGGATTTGTGTGGCTCTAGTGGCTGGCTGCCAGGGTTTGGATCACCACATACTGAACACATCAACATTGTTCAGCCTATTTTAGTGGTAAAATACCCCAAAAAAGGTGGATAAGATTATGTAAGTAAATCCAGAATAACACTTTTAGCTCCCTATATGGTGAGAGTTAAATAACACCACGTAAATATGCAGCACATTCATTTTCTACTAAGCCAGATGCAAAAGGACTTTAAAATTTTACATTCACTTTTAAAGTATGTGGATTTCTTACTATAGATAAAAATTCTGGATATTTTTAAGGTACAGTAGTACTTAAAGATGTTAATGGGTCTTTTTCATTACAGTCTGAACCAATCAGAGTCCTTGTGACTGGAGCAGCTGGTCAAATTGCATATTCACTGCTGTATAGTATTGGAAATGGATCCGTCTTTGGTAAAGATCAGGTAGGAACAGGTGTCTATAAATCTTAAGTTATTAGAGTAAGAATATGGTTAGTAAAATTCTGTATTTGTACACAAATTGTAAAACAATGAAGGAATGTGTAATCTCAGTAAATGTAATAGGCACACAGCTATAATTGGAAGCAAGTAAATTTGTATGTATGCCTCCAGGCACTGAAAACACTTTGGAAATGAGAACTCTTCCATATATTGTACTTAGTTGACTTGGTGCAACCAGCAGGTGTCAGTCAATGGGAGATATCACTAATGATAGTGACTTACAGTCATGTGGGAGAGAGTTACTCAATAAGCACTCCCTTGTTAATAAATGGCCTTTAGAACCAAAAGAGTCAGGAAATCTGCTTCCCAGTTGAAGCAGGCACTCTGACTTTCAGCAAGCCTGATTAATGCACACTAAAATCATTTTCTAAGGTATTCATTTATTCAGTTTCTTGACCCATGGATACTGAATTATTCTTTCATGAACTGAAATCAAACATACAGCTATTAACAATAAGAGCAAACTATGGCATGTCACTCAGTTTAATGTTTTTTTTCATGTACTCTTAAAAAACTGAGTAGTGGTGATTCCTCTCACTGTGTTTGTTAGCAAACCAATGCTGGTTTTATAGCATCCTTCTTTCTGAAAGTGGCATAGTGCTAGATACCTGACCTCCTGAAATAATGATCATGACTAATTAATGGGAATTACATGCATGTACATACCAAATAAAAAGTCTGTGAAAAGACTTTCTTGTGTCTAAGTGAAATAGCCTACACTAACAGATGCTGTCCTTGCTTTTTGGTAGCCTATAATTCTTGTGCTGTTGGATATCACCCCCATGATGGATGTCCTGGACGGTGTCCTAATGGAACTGCAAGACTGTGCCCTTCCCCTCCTGAAAGGTGAGTTGGGGAGTAGAGAAGGGATTTTATAGTATTTGAATTCTTACAAAATACAGGTTTTTAGGGCCGAGCGCGGTGGCTTACGCCTGTAATCCCAACACTTTGGGAGGCCGAGGCAGGCGGATCATGAGGTCAGGAGATCGAGACCATCCTGGCTAACACAGTGCAACCGCGTCTCTACTAAAAATACAAAAAAATTAGCCGGGCATGGTGGCAGGCGCCTGTAGTCCCAGCTGCTGGGGAGACTGAGGCAGGAGAATGGCGTGAACCCGGGAGGCGGAGCTTGCAGTGAGCCGAGATTGTGCCACTGCACTCCAGCCTGGGAAACAGAGCGAGAATCCGTCTAGAAAAAAAAAAATAATAATACACAGATTTTAGGTTTTTGTTAAAGGCTCTTAATTAGAAATTATTCATAAGAGGATTTTTTTATTTGGAACTACCATACTTATTAGCTATTTATGTATACCAAGGATAAAGAAGGGTAAAAAATGAGAAACAATGTCAGGTAAAGGACTATCATTTTTTCCCCCAATGTGTGTGTGTATATAATTTATTATACCAGTTAAGTGTAATATTTTGCACAAGGGTTATACACCTGACATTGTCTACACACACATATTATAGACAACGTAGGAATTGTCTATGTTGTGTTGTTAATGGAGTCTACTTAAATGGTAATAGTAGCGTCCTGTAATGGAAAACTTGTCTCAGTTTTGAAGGATGTCCTTCATAGCTATACATTGCTCTGGAAGTTGGTTGGTCCTTATATGGTCCCCATCCCATCTACCAATCATCAGGTTGAGACATAGTATAAATTGTCCTTACCATATGCTCTATAGTTTGAAAAAACCCAGAAGAGCTCAGCTAAGGGCCTTTGCAGATCATTGAACTATAACACGAACATAATAAGGAAGCCTTAAATTTGATTGAAAAGTTTTTTAAAATATTCTAAATTAATTTGAATATTTTTCTTCAGCTATATCTTCATCATAGTCTTTCTTTTGGTAAGGATTAATTAATGAAACTCTCCTAGAAGTTTGCACAAAGCAAAATAATATATACCTTCCCAGAAAAACTTTCCTTAAAATTTTTCATCTGTTGAATAAACATTTGCTAGAAGGGATAATCTGCCATCTAAGTCTTTTGGTTGCAAAGTTCTGTAGAAGAATACGTGGCTGCCCACACTATTCTGTTGGTTCCCTTTTCTTACCCACAGCTCTTTCCAAATCAACTTTGCTGCTTTTTCCCATTTGTATTCCTTTCTTTGCTGAGTTCCCTGTGCTTTCTCCAAAGGGCCCAGATTTCACTTGTTTGTCCTCTGCCAGAAGTGAATAGGAGAGGGAAGGGAAAGTTCAGCAAATAAGGACGTGGTTTTTTTTTAAGGAAGATAATTTTTTTTTCCTCCAACTGGTGTTCCTGTCTATGCCCATTTTCAGACTTATGGCAGGCTTGACTATGATGCAACTAGCCAATTTTCCAGTGAAAATGCTGAATGTTGGTCATAGCTTTTTTAATACAATCAACAAAGAAGTGTGATGACGTATGTTCTTCAGTCAAAAAGCAAGTGATGTTTGCTTATTGTACTAACACTGGAGCATAGTGGTTGAACTCTGGACCAACCTAGGCTGGAATTACAACTCCGTTATCTTTTGATGGTGGCGAGTTAATCTCTTTAAATCTCAGTGTCTCCATCTATAAAATGTGAAGATTAAATTTGATAATAATATAAATCTCTTAGCATTATCCCGGCACAAAACTCCTCAATAAACATTTATTATTTTTAAATTTGTGATTGGTGTCTTAGACCTTAAAGTAATTGTAATTTAAAGGTTAGGTGAATTAGTTGCTCTTTTGTGTTGTGTGGTAATTAGTGTGAATAACAAGTATTGCTTCAAAAGTCATCATTATACCTTGCATCATATATGATTATAAAAGATAAAAGCTATGGAGTTTTTGACATTTAAGATAATTACTGAAATAGGAAAAGCAAAATAAATCTATTGACATTTCTGATGTTATGATTGTTAAATTAATATATTATCTTTCTTTTCTTAGGCTCCTGAAATGCATATCAGTGTGATATATAAACACTTGCAACAAGTGAAAGAATTTATGGGTAGATTCAATATGAAAAAGAAAACTTCAAAACTTTGGTGTTTAAGTAGCTCTGCATATTTATTGCCATGTCCACAGATGTCATCGCAACAGATAAAGAAGAGGTTGCCTTCAAAGACCTGGATGTGGCCATTCTCGTGGGCTCCATGCCAAGAAGAGAAGGCATGGAGAGAAAAGATTTACTGAAAGCAAATGTGAAAATCTTCAAATCCCAGGGTGCAGCCTTAGACAAATACGCCAAGAAGTCAGTTAAGGTGACCAACACTGTATTTTAGGGATTTTTCATTGTTAGCATTTGAAACGTACGCTTTTAGCATTTAAGCAAAACCAAAATTATTTGTCCTTTTTTCTAGTTCTGTGCAATCATCAGTAAATATGGCTATAGAGTTTTGCTTGATAAGCTCTCCCTTTCTGGGTTTTTTGTTACAGTGTAGAAATCTATATTTAGAGTGTTCAAAAATATTTTTCCTATTAGTATAACGTGAAAATTTAATATTAGTTCTTAAACCTATAGAGAAGGCACAGGACCTTCTGGTGCATTTTTGCTGAGTGGGAATATTTATTTAGACATTTAAATTTGTGTGTGATTGTGAAAAGAGATAGCTAGCTGTAAGGTAAGTTTATTCTCAGGAGTAGAATATAGTGGTTTCTGAATGCTCGCTCAGATTTTCTTAATGCAGAGGAATTTTAATATGCTTGTTTCTTGAAGAATTGAGTCAGTATGACTTACCGTTCTGTCTCTTTGTGTTAAAACTATTTAAATTCTAACTATGTCTTAATAATACAATAAGCCTTTTTTATTTATTTATTTTTATTTTTTTGAGACGGAGTCTTGCTCTGTCACCCAGGCTGGAGTGCAGTGGTGCAATCTTGGCTCACTGCAACCTCCACCTCCCGGTTCAAGCGTTTCTCCTGTCTCAGCCTCCTGAGTAGCTGGGACTACAGGCGCACGCCACCACACCTGGCTAATTTTTGTATTTTTAGTAGAGATGGGGTTTCACCATGTTGGCCAGGCTGGTCTCAAACTCCTGTCCTCAGGTGATCTACCTGCCTTTGCCTCCCAAAGTGCTGGGATTACAGGTGTGAGTCACAACACCCAGCCAAACCTTCTTTTATTAGTGAACTATCAATTAACTAGAACTTAATTGTCACACAGCAAATAGGCTTGCCGGTTAAAGGTTTAACTGATTTCTGTATACTTTCCTATTTAAAAAAAAAAAAAAAAAAAGTGAAAGAAAATTTTTATAAAATATTTTAAGTTGCCCATTATAATGTTCTATCAGTAACATTTCATAGATGTCTGCATTTTTTGCTTTCTGTGGACTTCATTTTAAATAGTTAACTTACTTTCTGTCATCACAGAAAATAATATAAATGAGTTGAATAGAAATCCACAAGTACCAGTAAAAGATTACAAGGTTGTTCAGACTGCTAAATTGCAGGCTGTTTGGAGGTAAAGTATTCCTTGCACAGTAATTCCACCTCTGCAAAGCGTCCTTGTTTGTCAGAAATATTTGCCAGCACTGCAGTACTTAGAGACAATCAAGTATCTTGTCTGCAGCTTGTCAAAAGAGGTACCAAAAAAAAAAAAAAACAAAGACTAAAGATATAAGGGAGTCAGTCTCTGTAATATGGTTGTAACTTTTCTATAAATCTGATACTATTTCAAAAATTTTATTACCATTTTATTAAAGATTTTTATAACTTAAAATGTATTTTCCTATGCTATATTGTATTTGGTGTTTCCCAAGCCTCCCCTGTACGGCTACCTGTTAGACATTTTCAATCAAATTTTAACATGGTTAGTAAGTATATAGTCTGTAAGTCTTCAGTGCCTTCCATTCCTCCTAGGTTATTGTTGTGGGTAACCCAGCCAATACCAACTGCCTGACTGCGTCCAAGTCGGCTCCATCCATCCCCAAGGAGAACTTCAGTTGCTTGACTCGTTTGGATCACAACCGAGCTAAAGCTCAAGTAAGAGAAATGTCTTTCAAATCTTGTGATTGTTCAACTTTAAAACATTTTTCTCTCACTTTTAAAATAACTGAATCTGAGTTTGTGCTTTTTTCTTGTTTTTGTTTGGTAGGAACCTGTTACTTTTATTAAATTAAAAGTAAATTATTATTAATTTGTTAGGGAGTCTTTAAATGTATTCTCGTAAAGGACCAGAGGCTTTACTTCCTACTTGATTTTGTCTTTAACTATATTTCAATTGCTAACTATAATGAAATGCAGTTACTAATGTTCTTTTGTTACAGTGGTTAAAAATTAGTATACATGATGGTACATAATTTAGTTTTAATTTTTTCAGATACATAGGAGATTATATAAACAAAGACTTGAGCTTTGCGTGATTGTGTGGTTCTGCTTCTGTTTTACCTGCAGCTAAGCAATCAAATTCAGATTTTGTAATTTTATATTTAATTTTCAGTTTATGTATTTTTAATATTCTGTGTGTATCTGTGAAATTTGCTACTTTCACTGCTTAGGAGCTAAACTCTGTTGCTAATTTTCTTTACCCTTGGAGCCATAGATAAGTATGCCAAGGAGCCAGTGACCAAGGAATTAACAATAGCTTTTCAAAAAATTAGAAGCCAAGCAACTGATCTGAGCTAGTTTCCTAGGCTTTTTCAGATCTAACTGGTCCTGGTGCCCGTTCCTGGACAGAACCTCTGTCCGTTGCCCTAATGCTTTTCTGGCCATCCCTTCTTGTCTGTAGGTCATCACTGCTAGATAGGTCTATGAGTTCAGTGCTTTTTCTTCTAGAGAAAGATAACTTTAGTTTCAAAAAAAATTGTTAACCAGAAGATGCTATGAGGTCTAAGTTGAAGCACTGCTGCCCTAACCTAAGAATTAATAATCCTTCAGCACTGGAATGCCTATGAAAGAGAAAAGAATATACATTTGTTAAGCATCTACTGTAAATTGAATGCTATACATGTAATTTTCCATTTAATTTTTATAGTAACCATATGAGGTATCTTATATTATCCCTGCTTTAGGTAAGAAACCTGAGGCCCAGGGAAGTCAGAGAACCTGCTCAGAGTCATACAGCTTATAAATTATGGAGCCACTTGATTTGCCTGACTCAAAACCCTTATGTATGGTCTTACTTAATGGTATCAACTGACCTTAGTCCACTTACTAGCTCTGTGATTTTGAGAAAGTACATTCAATGATTAAAATGTAATAATTATATCTACCTCAGAGAGTTCTTATGAGGATTAAATAAGATCCATTTTAAGCCCTTAGCATGGTGCCTGCACATAGTAAATGCAAGAAAAGTTGGCTGCTATTATTATTAGTTGATTTCTTCTTTCTAAGAAGCATACAGCCTAAACATTCCTAACGTAAAGGGTTGTTGGATAACAACCCTTAAATTTTTAGTTTAAAGTGCAGATATTCCCTGAGAGGCTTTAGGCTATGGGCTGGGTCTGATGGTAGCTGAGAACAAATAGGAGTTTGTTTGAATGACTGGAGGCAGGCAGTTTGAGTACTGTGGGACAGTTGTAAAGGAAGAGATATTATACACCTTACAGTTGTAAACTCTGGATTGCCAGACAGTGACTTATTTAGTTCCTGCAACAAGAAAAAGGTAACACAATGACACTAGCAACCACTTTTTGTTGTTTCACCTGAGGCTTTGGTGGAGACAGGCTTTGGAAAATTCTGCCTCCAAAGGTACTGCTAAGAGATACTTTGTCCTAGTGCCTGAAACAGTTTTCACTGCAGGGCTAAAGTCTGAATGAGCAAAGAGGAAAGACAGTGCTCTCCTCAGACTTTAACCTTCACTTTGGGACATGTTCTTTATTACTCCTGGGACCTTGGCTTGGCACTGTTTCAGCATGTCAATCTGGCATAGTGAGAGCTTTTAAGGAGTCATTGAAGAAGCACTTTCTTCCTCTAAAAGAAGTAGTTTATCCAGTGAGAAAAATAACAAACCCAAAGGTAAGTTTTTCTTACAGGAATGGTTGCTAGATATTTTGTCTTGGAATTCAGAGGCCTTAGCTACTTAGGGACTGTTTAACACCTGCAGAACTTCCCTGTGTATTTGCAAACCAGTGCTATATTTACATCTGCTGACAAGGTAATTTGACAGTGATACCAGATAAGGTAATTTGACAATGATACCAGTTAGCTGGTAAGAAAATTACTAGGGCTGGAGAATTAATCAAAAACTTTTAACAGACCTCTATGACAGACATGAGTGTCTAGGGGAGTAAAGAACTGTTATCCCGGGTACGTATAAATTTAGACTAATTGTGACATGAATCATATTAAGAAATTATATCTGCTGGGTGCAAAGTACCTGGCCTTTGCTGTCCAGACAGAACTGGATTAGCTCAAGAGATCAAAGGAGCAAGAGGAGGAGGGCAACAAGAACAAAGGAAGGCAGGGGAGCCCAGGAAGACCGAGGGCAGAGAGGCCTAGAGGCATTTTGTCTTCACTGTACTTGGGAGCATTGAAGCTGACATTCAGGGAAGTTACAGGCTCTAACTTCCTGGTGATATATATATCTTGAGTTAATTGTTCAAGGTATAAATTTATCTTTTTCTATACCATACCAGCTAAATTTAAGTATAAATGTAAGTAAGAGCAGTTTTTTTCCCAGTTCTTTCAGGTCATGGCACCCATAAAAAATGGTACTCATTGGACAGCGTGCCACTCTACCCTACCCCACAGGCTAAGCAGATCAATAGCTGAGGACCCCAGAAACCAACCGTCAACTAATTTGTGGAGACTAATGCAAATATTGTAGATAATAGTCCTAATACTTGCAAGACTTGCAGGGATTCGATCGGTCAAAAGTGATTTACAATATCACAAACAGAAATTTTTAAGTAAACTTTTAACTATTTTAGGATTTCAGAAAGCAGTCTCAGCTAGTTTAAGAGTGAGAGTGAAAGTAAAGACAGTTTACTTTTTTACCAGTTTTATATTCATTTATTTTTTTCTGTGTCTTTATGAATGATTCTATGACATTTGATTACAAGTGTAGATTCCTATAACTGCCCCCATAGTCAAGGTACAGAATTTCTTCATCACTCACAAAAGAACTCCTGCATACTCTCCCTTATGGTCACACCTCCCTCTGTCCCTGACATCATTTATCTGCACTCCACCTCTATAATTTTGTCATTTTGAAAATTTACAAAAATGGAATCATGCAGTAAGGAACCTTTTGAAACTCTTTTTCACTTAGTTTAATGCCTTTAAGATCCATCCAGGTTGTTGGTTGTTCCTGTTTTTCCACTTACCCCTTTTATTTATTCCATTGCATATGTAAGACGTAATACAGTTTATTTAACTATTCTTTTTTTTTTTTTTTTTTTTTTTTGAGACGGAGTCTCACCCTTTTGCCCAGGCTGGAGTGCAATGGCACGATCTCGGCTCACTGCAATCTCTGCCTCCCAGGTTCAAGAGATTCTCCTGCCTCAGCCTCCTGAGTAGCTGGGCTAATTTTTATATTTTTAGTAGAAACGGGGCTTCACCATGTTGACCATGATGGTCTCAATCTCTTGACCTCATGATCCTCCCACCTCGGCCTCCCAAAGTGCTGGGATTATAGGCGTGAGCCACCGTGCCTGGCATATTTAACCATTCTTGAAGGACATTTGAGTTGTTTCAGTTTAGAGTTGTTATTACCCTTGTTTTAAAATTTTCCTTAAAATATCAAAGTGTATTCCTTTTATTACATGGTAAATACTCAAATGCTTTATTTATGTGCTAAAGCTACAGACTCTGGCACAACTAATTTTCTCTCCCATTCTTACTGGGACACAGAGGAAGGAAGAATGGCCCACAATGTCACCAAAACAGATCAGCTTCTTAAAATATTTTTCCACATTCCCTTCTGGTTCATCATAAATTCTGTTGTCTAGTTAGGAACAAATTATACATACACCTGATCACAATTTATTTTCTGCACATAAACTTATCAGACAAATAACAAACAGGCTGATTTTATTTAAATCTACCAAGACATGTCTCTTTTTTTTTTTTTTTTTTTTTTGAGACAGTCTCACTCTGTCGCCCAGGCTGGAGTGCAGTTGTGCAATCTCGGCTTATCACAACCTCCGCCTCCCAGGTTCAAGCGATTTTCCTGCCTCAGCCTCCCAAGTAGCTGGGATTACAGACATGTACCACGAAGCCCGGCTAACTTTGTATTTTTAGTAGAGATGGGGTTTCTCCACGTTGGTCAGGCTGGTCTCGAACAGCCAACCTTAGGTGATCTGCCCGCCTTGGCCTCCCAAAGTGCTGGGATTATAGGCGTGAGCCACCATGCCCAGCTCAAGACATAACTTTTTAACCTTTTTTTGTGGCTATTATGCTATATGTGATTGCAAGGCATTGCAGGACCCTAAACTGCTTTCTGGAGTTATAGCTAGAGATTGTTACATATGTTAGAATTTTAGTGTGTATATATGTGTGTATACACACACACACACACACACATAAAATCTCTTTCCTTCAGTTTCCTGATATATAAAATGAGGACAGTCATATCTTGGTAATTTGAGTCCTATCCAACTCTAAAATTTCATATTTAGGGTTGAAAATTAATTTGTATATGGTATGTAATAAAAATTTTACCTAAAGTGCCTAAATACCTGATTACTCAGAAGCACTGAGAAGACATCTCCAGGTAAACATTAACAGTGAAACAAAAGATCACATTTACATATTTAAGAAACAGTAAATTGATTAATAAATAATAGTAACTTGATTAATGTTTTATGTTTGATACACCTACTATACTAATAACCACAAACTATGGGATGCTTCATACCCTTAAACATTGTACTCCATAAGCTTCAAGTCCACGGTTGTTACCACTGTTAAGCTGTTGTAGGAAATTGCCAAGCAATAAATTTACCTTTTTTACAAGTCAATATAACTCTTGTGTTCTCTTGAAATTTCAGAAGCTTTTTATTTAAGGGCGTTTGTCAAAACAGGTCCCAATTGGAAATAAAAAGCATTTGCCTCAGTAATGTATTTGTTTTCAATTTAACTAGATTGCTCTTAAACTTGGTGTGACTGCTAATGATGTAAAGAATGTCATTATCTGGGGAAACCATTCCTCGACTCAGTATCCAGATGTCAACCATGCCAAGGTGAAATTGCAAGGAAAGGAAGTTGGTGTTTACGAAGCTCTGAAAGATGACAGCTGGCTCAAGGGAGAATTTGTCACGGTAAGAAAAATCTGTGAGCCTTCTTAACACTGAGCATAAAGAACTCTTGAGAGACTCAGGACAGGAAACCTTCAAGGAGGGCAGGTCTTTCACAGTTGCTCTGATGACTGCATACTTTCGGGATCTTAGTAAGCCAGTCATGATCCAGTCTGATCTGATATGATCTGTAGCACAGCAGTTGCGACTTATACCAAGATCCATGTCTTTGACATATGATAAACTTTGTATGGGAAGATACAGTTTTCTTTTTCCAGAAGGATTGGTAAGGCTAACATCAGGTTGTTGCATGATTTTGGAGGGGACACATTAAACTCTGGTCATAGCCTTTCACCCCAAGTTCGACTTGGAATCAATGAAAATGTTGCTATCATGACCAAGTAACACTGCTGCTTTCGCCTGCCCCTTTCCCAGACTGTGCAGCAGCGTGGCGCTGCTGTCATCAAGGCTCGAAAACTATCCAGTGCAATGTCTGCTGCAAAAGCCATCTGTGACCACGTCAGGGACATCTGGTTTGGAACCCCAGAGGTAAGGATTTAGTGATTTGCACAGGTCACTCTGTTTTATTTTTGTTGCCTGATGATATAATATAAAAAGAATATAGCCTTTAGGTTATAATCAGGTTAGGTTCATTTCTCAGCTCAGCTGCCTATTAACTAAGTAAACTTTGGAGTTTCTTAGCCTTGACCTTTCTGAGCTGTTTTGTCATCTTTTACATGACATTACTATTATACACAGGGTTGTGAGGGTTAAAGGAGATTGCATATGGAAAACACGTAGCACAATGCCTGATACATAGTAGGGGTGAAATTTTTTCTTCTAGGCCACAGCTTCCTCATCTGTGAGGATTAGGAAATGAGGATTAGGTTTCCCTGGCCTACTTCACATATGATATGGAAGCATGAAATGAAATAATATCCATGAAAGTTATCTTGTCGTGGAAGTACCTGGTGCTGATGATAGTTCCTTACACAGTAATGATGTTATGAACATAGTAAGAAAGGGTCACCTGGTTTAATTTTATTAGTTCATGTGTCAGTTGTGTAAACTAATCACCATGAGTATGTGAAACATTGTTATTTTCAGGGAGAGTTTGTGTCCATGGGTGTTATCTCTGATGGCAACTCCTATGGTGTTCCTGATGATCTGCTCTACTCATTCCCTGTTGTAATCAAGGTAAGGTATTTTGGAGCTATTTCCCTTCTTTGAGAAAGTAGTTATATGTTTCCCTTAAGAATGGTATTATTGGCCAGGCACAGTGGCTCACGCCTATAATCCCAACACTTTGGAAGGCCAAGGTGGCAAGATTGCTTGAGCCCAGGAGTTCAAGACCAGCCCAGGCAACATACTGAGACCCCCATCTCTGCAAAAATAAAATAATTAGCCGGGCATGGTGGCACACACCTGTGGGCCCACATCCTCGGCAACAGAGCAGGACCCTGTCCCCCCAAAAATAAAACAGAATGGTATAACTTCATCTAGAAAATTGTTCCTTTACTAAAATAGACATTTTTCTCAGCTTTAAAACTATATGTATTTCAACTTCAGGTCATTAAAAGTTTTTGTGATTGAAATTAATCTAGAAAGGAAAATTCAGCTTTTCCTACTAAACACAGTATGTTATTATGCCTCTAGTATTAGAGACCTACAAATAGTATATTTCTAAATGAAGCAATGATTTTCAGTGTTGTTGCTATTTATTATAAACGTGCTAAAGTCAATCATTTTAAAGATTTTTTTTTTTTTAGATTCAAGAGGTTTAAAATTCAAGTGTTGAGTTTTTATTAGAATTGTCTATTAATTAAAATCTGGATTTTGATTTACTTCTTTAGAATCAGACTTTAAAACAGATACACCTCTAAATATAAGTTCAAACTAGGTTGTTGCTTATTAAAAGATCAGTTCCACTTTAAATCTCTTATTTGCATTATTTTCAAACAGAATAAGACCTGGAAATTTGTTGAAGGTCTCCCTATTAATGATTTCTCACGTGAGAAGATGGATCTTACTGCAAAGGAACTCACAGAAGAAAAAGAAACTGCTTTTGAATTTCTTTCCTCTGCCTGACTAGACAAGGATGTTACTAAGTGCTTCAAAGCTGAAGAATCTAAATGTCGTCTTTGACTCAAGTACCAAATAATAGTAATGCTCACTTAAATTACTTGTGAAAAACAACACATTTTAAAGATTATGTGCTTCTTGGTACAGGTTTGTGAATGATAGTTTATCATCATGCTGTTAGTATGCATTCTAAATAAATATATACCCAAATGAAAGTGACTCAGACTCTGTTTCTAGCTAATATTTAGTGTCTACTCAGGAAACAAACTTGCAGCCAGGCACAGTGGCTGACACCTGTAATCCCAGCACTTTGGGAGGCCGAGGCGGGTGGATCACTAGGTCAGGAGATCGAGACCGTCCTTGATAACACAGTGAAACCCTGTTTCTACTAAAAATACAAAAAATTAGCCAGGCGTGGTGGCAGGTGCCTGTAGTCCCAGCTACTCCAGAAACTGAGGCAGGAGAATGGTGTGAACCCAGGAGGCAGAGCTTGCAGTGAGCAGATGGTGCCACTGCACTTCAGCCTGGGCGACAGAGCGAGACTCCATCTCAAAAAAAAAAAAAAGAAAAGAAAAGAAAGCAAACTTGGATGTTTCCCAGCTTGCCTAAAGAATTTTTATATATATGTATTTTCTAACCAGAGGAAGGCAGTAAGGCTAGAAAGATAAAGCATAAATCTCATTTAAATAGAACATAGAAACTCACCTTGTGATAATGAATCAGTCTATTTCAGTATATATTTGTAAACATTACCTACATTGAACACATACCGTATATTTAAAATCTTAAAGGTTCACGCTTTGTAGATAATTCAGTTTTAAGGCTCGCTACTAATATTAAATAAGTTGCAGATAATATTGTTAACAGTGTTATGCCATTGGATGAAATTAGAACATTTTCATTATATTAAAAAAATGATAATAGGTTTTCACTGGAGGTGTTACTTTTTAGCAGATAAGGAATCATTTCTATTTCAAAACCACTAAATGCCACAGAAGTTTATGCTAGTGTTAGGAGTTTTCAATCTAAGCTTATTACTAGAAAAATAGTGGAGTTTTTTCAATAGTCTTGCTTTTTCCCCAAACCTATCATGGCAGAAGGCATTTTCTATCTTTTCGTCCTCATGCTTAACACACTGTCCACATGTAATAGACAATATTGTATTAATAAGTATCTCCAGGCCTAATGTAGTACTCTTCATGGATACTCAAATATTTGTTGGTTGGATGTATTTAAAATTACAACTTTGGGAGGCCAAGGCAGGAGGATTGCTTGAAGCCAGGAGTTAAAGGCTAGCCTGGGCAACAAAACAAGACCCCATCTCTACAAAAAAATTTTAAAAATTAGCTGAGTGCAGTGGTGGATTCCTGTAATCCCAGCTACTCGGGAAAGTAAGGCAGGAGGATCACCTAGGCACAAGAATTCAAGGCTGCAGTGAGCTAGGATTGCACCACTGCACTCCAGCCTGGGCAACAGAGCGAGACCGTCTCCTTTTAAAAAATTAAAAATTACCTAGATCATTATCTCATATGATGTAGAAAAGAAAAAGCAAGTGAGTAAAACTACGTTTAGGACTACTATTAATTGGAAGCATAAAAACAAAATTTCCTATAGAAGGAACAAAATTTTGTATAAAGTAAGTATGAATTGGACCAGTTGTTACTTTCTTTTGGTTCCAAACACTCTGTTCTATATTCTCATGACATTAGGACTGGAACTTGGCAAGCCACATTTCTTTACCTGCTGCTCTTTGTTAAAAATGTACTAATAGGCCAGGCGTGGTGGCTCATGCCTGTAATCCCAGTACTTTGGGAGGCTGAGGAGGGCGGATCATTTGAGGTCAGGAGTTCGAGACTAGCCTGGCCAACATGGTGAAACCCCGTCACTACTAAAAATACAAAAATTAGTCGGACACGGTGGCGCATGCCTGTAATCCCAGCTACTCAGGAGGCTGAGGCAGGAGAGTCACTTGAACCTGGGAGGTTGCATTGAGCTGAGATCATGCCACTGCACTCCAGCCTGGGTGACAGAGCAAGACTCCGTTTCAAAAAAAAAAAAAAAAAAATTTTATATATATGTATATATATATACACACACACTAATAATATATATACACACACTAATAAAGAAAACATGCTCTTACTCCTTCCTGTTGGTTTCCGCTATCATTACCTTCTATCCACTTTATATAAGCCAGAAAAGAAGAAAACAAATGAATCAAACATATCTTTAGAAGAGCAATTAGTTGGAAGCATGAAAACTAATTTTATGTAGAATTAAAAAGAAAATCTTGGCTGGGTACAGTGACTCATGCCTGTAATCCTAACACTTTGGGAAGCTAAGTGGGAGGATCACAGACCAGCCTGAGCAACATAGTGAGACGCCATCTCTACTAAAAATAAAAAATTAGCCAGGCATGGTGGGAGGGTCGCTTGAGCCCAGGATGTCAAGGTTGCAGTGAGCCATGATCATGCCACTGCACTTTAGTCTGGGTGACAGAGCAAGACTGTCTTTAAAAAAAAAAAAAAGAAAATGTTATATGAAGAAAGTATGTATATATGAAAGTTATTGGAGAGATCTAGATTACTTGTAGAAACAAGTAATTTTTCACTAACTGTGCCTTTGAAGCATGGATTTCAGTTTGAATATTCACATTGTGAAACTGATTACCACTTTATGCCATTTTTTTTAATGCTCTTCACTTTCGTCACCTTTACCAAGAGAACAAAGCATTTTGTTGCCCCCGTCTCTTAATGGAGTCCAGGCCCAGGAAATTGGGCCCAGGAAATCTTTAAGCAGCATGATAATACGTGAAAAGCCTATGTCTTTCCTAAGCATTTTTACTAGTATTTGAAGAAATGATACATGGGTGCATTACAGGGCAAAAGACATTACATTTTAAGCCAATAAAGTTAGATTAAGAAGCTTTCCAAAAGAGGTACAATCTGTATAAACCTAAACCTTAAGGGAATATTGACCTCTGCAGATCATGACCCTGGTAATGTTTCCTGAACAACAGAAGTGGATGGCCAGTGCAGCTTTATTTAATTCTAATAAAGCATAAAGAAGGAGGGGGGGGAAACCCTATAATTCCACTGCCAGTTAATCATAATTTAAATAAAAGTTATATATACATTAGAAAATCAATGAAATGGTGTTAAATGAAAACTAAGTTTTTGTTTATCCTAACAGGAAAAAAAATACACATATTTATTTTGAGAGTTTAAAAAAAAAAATAAAGGAATACATAGTGAAAAGAAATGTTCTTTGCTCACCTGACTCCCACCCATTTAAGCCTCGTTTTTGTCCCACGGCCTATAGCTCAGAAATATTCAATGCATAACCAAAGTATGTATGTAAATATATGTGTGTGCATGTAACCATCACCTTTTGTACATAAATTACAACACACTGTTCTGCACTCTGTGTTTTTCCTTTAGTAATACATCTTAAAACTATATAGATACTTAGCATCAGGCACAGTGGCTCATGACTGTAATCCCAGCACTTTCGGAGGCCAAGGTAGGCAGATCACTTTGAGCTCAGGAGTTCAAGACCAACCTGGGCAACATAGCAAGACCCCATCTTACAAAAACAAAACAAAACAGCCTAGTGTGGTGGCTCACACCTATGGTTCCAGCTCCTTGGGAGGCTGAGGTGGGAGGATTGCTTGAGACCCAGAAGCAGAGGTTGCAGAGAACTGAGATCATGCCAGAGCACTTCAGCTTGGGTGACAGTGTGAGACCCTGTCTCAAAAAAAACATAAAAGCTATATAGATACCTGCAGAGCCACCCCATTCATTTTTAAAGTTATGTAGTACTCCATTGAATGGATATACCAAACTTTATTTAGCCAGTCTCCTATTGATGGAGTTTTAGATTCTTGTCAATCTTCTACTACTATAAAGATGCTGGACTATTTTTGTAAGTTGGTTATTTCATACATGTGCAAGTGTATCTGCAGGATAAATTCCTAAAACACAACAGATTTTTTTTTAAACACTGTTGAATATAGTTTGTTATAAAAGCAGCAGTCTTCTGGATTCGATATTATATGTACATTTAATATCATTTTAACTGTCCTTTCTAACCCCCTACTTTTCTTTTTTAAACAATACCTTGATTAAACCAGCCACAATATTTCTCAAGAAACGTTGACCAGGGGAAAAATCTATTAGAAAGTACCTTTTTGGTATGTAAGCTTAAGAATTTGACTACGAAAAACAAAAAGCAACAAAAATAGGTTCCTAGTTGTCCCTGTGAAATTGGTATGAGAAGTCATTATCTTTATAATCATTATGGCTTTAAACAAAACTCAAAACAATAAACATATCTGTTTTGATTTCTGAATATTGATGGGTTCTTAGACAACCTAAAATGGTTACTGACTCATTAGAAACATACAAGCTTTCATTCTAGTAATGTCACCTAACTGGTATCACCCAGCACAATACAGTGAGAGTTCAATACACATTGTTGAATAAATGGGTCCTTGTCAATTTGCCCTCTAACTCTGCTGGGAATAGACATGTATTCTAAATCAAACTCATAGCCTGACCTGGGTAGCACAATTGAGTAAAGCACTTTTAAGCAGAATAGACATCTCTAAATCTGTCCAGTTTTCTCATGTCCTTACCACCATCACCCTGGTCCAAGCCATCATTATTTCTTCATAAAAGACGTCTGCAATAACAATGGGAATGGGAGCTCAGTTTGGAGTCTATGACTCCCCTCTCTCCCTAGTCCAATCCAGACTTGCACCAGAATTACTGATTAGCGATGATATTTTGCTTCACGTATTTTGAAGAATAGACCAACTCATGGGCTTGGAAGTCAGACAAGCTTGGATTCCAGCTCTGGCTCTTTTTAGGTGTCCTTAAACAACCTTTCTATGTTTTGATTCCCTCAGATACAAAATGGGGATATTAATAGTATCTCCTTTATAATGTTTTTGTGAGGATTATTTAAAAGGAAAGCACATGGTAAGGGCTCAATTTCCTTATTGGGTTTTTAGTGGATCAAAATACGCCACCCCAAAATATGCCACTTTAGCATAAGAAGTAGTTTGAGCTGAAGTTATTTCAGATTCAACAGATACAGAAGCAGCCTTCTCAGTGCCTCCCTTGTCTGACTAAAAGCAGAAACTTCTGAAAGTGAGGACTGCCACAAATCCTCTCTCCTAGGGAAGTTTCATGACCATGAAGAAGACAGAAAG